TTCCGTTTATTATTAACCCTTTATTATAGTTTACAAAGTACAAAAATAAACCTTTGTCCTAATAAACCTAGTATCATGTAGAGTGTTTCTTTTTATGCAACCTACCAACCTATTTTTGCAGATAGTAATTCTATCTACCTGGCTATTTACCAGGAAAGCTTAACCGTAATAAATAAAAATGGATATGGGCCAACCCTAATGGATATCACTTCATTTGATTGTTTAACAAGCATTATCCTGAAAACTGATTTGTACTCTCAGACAAACCCGACTACAGCGCTTCCTAAAGCACTTCTCCTTAGCGCTGTGAGTGATGATGTTGCCCTCCTCAATCTCTTACCTCCCGGGGGAAACAAGCCTGTCGTCGGTCAACATTGTGCCCTCAAATGAAAACTAACGAAGCCTGTGACTTTACTTAGGAAACAGTTGTCCCAGAAATGTAATCTTTTACCCATTTTTTTTAACCCAACGAACCACCTGCCCCACCCTCTAATCAGGTTTCAATTGACTGCCACTGAAGGAAGAGCCGCTCCTCAAGACGCTTATATAGGTCCGAACCCAGTCAGACGCCATTTAGAGCGTACTCAGTCTTCCTCCCAATATCTCAGAGAGCTCAAGGCCAAATGATTTAATCTTCATTCAGCTAATTTAGTCTGGATTTAAGCTGCCGGGTTGTCGAAGTGCAGAGTGATGGAGTCTGAAAACAGGATGAGAGGGAGAAAACGGAAGGAAGGAGAAAGGGAAGCAGAGAGAGATGAAGTTAGAGCCACGGAGGGAGGGTGAGAGAAAAAAGAGAGATAAGGGAGGAGGAGCAGGGGGGCTGCTGAAGATGATGATCCATCCTGACCCTAGTGAATGCTGTCATGTTCTCCCCTCTAGGTAATCTCTCTCACTCTCTTGCTATTTTACATGTGAAAATGCTCTCCTGACAGTTGCATATCAGATAAATTTTCTTCTCCTTTTTTCCCCCACTCGCTATCTCCCCTCCTCTTCCCTTCGCCAAATAAACAACAGTCTTCACTTTGAAGTTGTCTGTTTGTGTCAGTTTGGCTTCAGGCGAGCGTCGGCCTCTCCCTCTTCTGTCTTTGTGCTGCAGCGCGAGAGCATCGCAGATTATTTCCTCTTGCCATGGCCGGCCAGCACAATGCAGAGAAGCGGGAGGGAAAGTGTTCGGTGTCCAAACAAGTCCACATCTCTGCCTTTATCAAATTAAATAAGAGGATGGTTTGAAATGGGGAGAGGCACGTTGCCAGTTTGGATTGAGCGCAGGGGCTCCTTTTTTTTTTAAGGCAGCAGTTTTTGTCTTAGCAAACAACTGAATCTCCCTTTTTTATGCACCTAATTGAGTTAAAACACCCTTTTTTTTTTTACCAACATGGTGCAAAGTTTGATGATTAAAGCTCCCAGTAAACACACACTCAGCAGGTTCCTCCTCAGCAGACCCAGCCTCACCACTTGAGGGTGGTAGTGAGTGTGTGGTAATGAACCAGGCCTTTTTTTCTCCTTCCAGTCCCTATTAGAGGTGCAGTGACTCCTCCTGAGGGATCTCTGTCACAATTAAAGCCAGCAATGTTCTGACAGGTTCCCCACACGCCGGAACTGAATCAGGATCACACCACAGTATAGATATGGTAATGAGCGACTGTATAGATATGGCAGCATGCCGCTCTCTGGATGTCGAGTCAAGAAGCTCACCTGTTTCTGTGAATAAATCTGCACAGCATGTCAATCAGGTGGCTCTGCTTTGCCATCAGAAGGAAAAAAAAAGAAGGTTTGAAGACAAGCAGGAGACATGAGTAAGGAGGGGAGAGTTATGATTAATCAAAGCAGAGCTGGTCTGGGAATAGATGATTATTTCGAGATGCTATTACTTTTTATTTATATACAAAGAAGTTTGATTAAACTAACATGGTTTGGAAATGATTGTGTGTCTAAGTTGTTATAAAGTTATAATTTACTGACTTAGATCATTTTCTTAACAATAAGCTCCGACTCTGTCTATAAACAAATGCCTTGCTCAGTTTTTATTAGTTTTTGTTTTGTTGTAAATTATTTAATCAGAATAAAACACTTACCTCCTCTTATGACACAAAAGCAGGCTGACATAAACAGTGAGACATGTGAAAAAACTGGTTTATCATCTGCAGTTTCATTATTTAATAACAGCAGTGTAATGGTAGACACAGATCCCGGTGCAAACTTAGGTTTTAAAGTCTATTGATGCATGGATGGATGGATATGCAGCAGTAAAGCTGCTGGAAAGTGTTGGTTAGGCTTCCAGGGCCACTTTTTAACAGTCAGCAGCCCAACTTTTTCTCTTCTACATCTTTCAGAGGTAGAAACTTTCATTCTAATTCAGAAAAAAAGTGCACTTGTCCAAATGGGCTCTATGCACAACTCCACTACTTCCTGAACTCAAGGCAGCTCTTTAGTTTCCTGTCATTCGTTACTGGATGACCTGATTAATCCAGGTGTGTCTGGCCATGGTTACTGAGGCCGGACACATCTGGATTAATCTGTTCATCCATTAGAAAGAGAGGAAACAAAGCTGCCTTCAGTTCAGGATGTAGTGGAGTTGTGCATAGAGCCCATTATTTATATAAATTAAGAAACCACTTTTATTAGAATTGAAGTGATTAACGCCATTTTGGCTTAACCTGCAATGTGTTTTCAACTCTAAACCAAAAAGCTCATCTATGGTTAAATACACAATTATGCCATCAACTAATTATCAGGCAGAGAACTGCTTTGTTTTTTGCTTTAAATAATGTAAACAAAGAAAAACATCCTCCTACCTAATATTTGCCTATTTTATTTTATAAAACTGGTATAAAACTTTGTGCAACAAATTAGTTATTGATTTAAAAAACACATGCTTTGACCGCTTTTCAAGGAGGACATTTTGATTTGAAGTATAAGCTATATTAATACCTACATATGAGCTTCAGAAGTTTTTCAGACTGTTTGGTAATGCGGTTGCTTCGGGAGGACTTTGTGGATTTACTTTCTTGCCTTTGAGTTTAATTCCTGCTAGCATGATATTTGAAATAGTCAAAAATCTAATTTTCTGTTCTTCCTCCCTCCTTCCCACATCTACTTACTCCCTCTCCATCCGACTACCCCTCTGCCTCCCACCTTTGGGTGCGTTTTGCATGGTGCCTGGCTGTTTAGAGGCACCATGCATATGTATGTGCGAGACGGTGGATCGTGACGGGATCTGACATGCAGGGACAAGATCAAAGCGCTCCATCTCATCCCATAAAAAACGAACGCAAACCTTCCTCTCATCCTTACAAAACCCCCACTGACTCTGCCAGCCCTGACTCCTCCATCTTCCCTCTCCTCTCGGCTTCCTGTTCTTAAACCCCCCCCACCATTATCGGTCCCAGCACAGTGCGTGCCCACGTCAAGGCCTGCCTGACTTTGCGATTACGCCCCGTGATAAACAATGGCCCGTTTAGCTCATAAAGTAGGAGTGTTGTGCATAATGCTTACAATAAAAGATAGCATCTCTTCACTCATCTTATTTACCTCTCCCTGTGTGGCGCGGCCAACGAGCTGTTCTATAAATACCACAGGGAGGAAGGAGATGGAAGCATCTGAAGAGGATGCTGGTCATATAAAGTCTGCAGATCAGAGTTAGGATCCACAGCTTAGGTTTTTGAATGCGAATCTGATTTGATAAAAGCATTGTGTTAAAGCCACCTCATCCTTCCTTGCAATTGAGCTCCAAATGTCCTCTAAACTGGCACATGGCGACATCTACATCACACTTAGATCCATCTCCATGGAGCATATAGATTGATACGAAAGCCAGACTGCATTCCTCCAGCCTCCCCATCTTTAATCCCCCCCCCCTTCCTTTTCCAGTAAGAAAGATGTATGAGTTTGAATTATTGATTCAGACACATGCTACATGCTGCTCGGAGTCATTATTTGTTCAGGTGAGTGTCACGCTGCTCACTATGAAACAGATACCGCGGGGATTAAGCGACACAATCAGGACTTAAAGACAGCCGCCCTCCCTAAAATAACACAGCCCCTCTCTGCAAGACAAATGCTCCCCAAAAGCTGGCTTCATTTGTTTATGACTCGCGCATTAGTCATTCTGCGCCTAAATTATCGCACAGGGGTAAAGATTCATTCAAGCACAGGCGGGTTTTCTGCTATTGTCTTCTACGTGTTTCTTGCAGCCGAATAAGGAGGCGGATGAATGTAGGTGCAAACATCCTACACACTGATTAAAAAGGCTTTTTTTCCCCCCTTTTTTTTATGAATTGTAGGCGTGAAGAAAAGACAGATGTCCAGAGCAAAGACAGATCGGCGTGCATATTCACAGCCTTTTGATTGCCTTAGGCATCATACAACAAAATAAAATGCACCAAACAATGAATCATGTCTTACATTCATTGACTTGATTCCGACTATTTGAAGCGGTAGACGGCTGCAAACTGTGATGGAAAAGTTGAGCTACGCCGTAGAAGTGTTTCTGATAGGAGGAAGCTCTGATGCAAGAGCCTTAAGAGAATAGCAGGAGGTAAAATGTTGCTAACTGTTCATTTAGCCCTGGCTAAGTGGTCGGGGACAATGGACAGGTGAACTCTATTCTCTCCACTGGCCCTGCAGGGAGTGTGTGTGTGGGTGTGGGGGTGTAGACTGTAACAGAATTTCTCTGGTCCTCTGGGCCCTGGTGCAAAGCAGAGAATAAATGGTGGAGGTGGCAGGCCTGGACAGAAAAATCAATGCCTGCTTATACAGACATGACACACCAGCGGCCAACTGCATTCTGTGTGTGTGTAGAACCCAATCTCACAGAGCCCATGCTCTGTGGGTGTAAGTACCAATACCCTACAAACCCCCATTTCCTCTCTTTCTCTCTTGTTAGAGTTTTTACTCTTTTTTTGTACATCAGCTTTGGGATCAGTAAATAACTCCTTGTTTTATCCCCTCCCTCCCTCCTCCTCGGTCCCTCTCCTCTTGCCTCCCTTGTCCTCCCACAGGAAGTTTGAATGTAAGCTGTGTGACCGCTCCTTCAGCGAAAAGTGGGCCTTGAACAACCACATGAAGCTGCACAACGGGCAGAAGCCGTACAAGTGCATCTGGCCGTCCTGCCACTACGCCTTCCTGAACCTGTCGGCCATGAAGGACCACTACAGGACACACACCGGTGGGTCACCAATTCTCACCCTGAAACTTCAAAAAATGTTTCACGTCCCCTTAACTTCTTTAAATTTGATTCAATCACCCCTCTTACCCAGTACAACCATTTTTTTTTCTCTTCACCAGCCACCTACCGTATTTTCACGACCATAAGGCGCACCGTACTAAAAGGTGCAGTCTCAGTTATTTGTGCCATTACTGTATTTAAACCCATCAAAGTCATCATCCTCTGTTTCTGAATTAAACAGCTGCGCTAAATCAGACATGCCAATTTCCCCTTCTTTGCTGTCAGAGTCACTTTCCTTGCCGGGCAACTCCTCAGAAATAATGCCAGCTTTTGCGAAAGCTTGAACAACAGTGCCAGCAGACACTTGTCCAAGCATCAACAATCCATCCGCAAACGGTGGCATAACTTGCCCGGCGCTGCCTTCCACTTTTCGTGAAACTGTGGTCTCCGTCTGTCATCCATCGCTCCCACGCCGCTCGCAGCCTTACTTTGAACGGCCGCTTCACACCGATGTCGAGCGGTTGAGGTTCCTTTGTCAGACCTCCCGGAATAACAGCGAGCACAGCGTTCATTTGTTTCACCTTTTTTTTCACATCTGCTGTGAGATGGGCACGCATGGAGTCACAGATTAACAGCGATGGTGATGAGTGGAAAAAACCACCTGGTCTCCTTACATACACCTCCCTCAGCCACTCTTTCGTCATCTCCTCATCCATCCAGCCCTTTTCATTTGCCTTAATAACGACTCCAGCTGGAAAAGCCTCTTTAGGCAAAGTCTTTCTCTTAAAAATCACCATAGGCGGCAGTTTCTGTCCATTATACACAATCCACGCCCACACTTCCCCCTTTAACGTTCTCATGGTGGTCTCAACAACGTCCGCAGTAACAACACACATAGGGCGCGCCGCACATTTTGAGGGAAAAAAAAGACGTTTATATGCGCCTTATAGTCGCAAAAATACAGTACATTCTGGTATTAATACAAGCAGGGATAAAGTTGTGGAGGGATTAAAAGCAAGGCGAGGCTAGAAGACAAGAAAAACAGATATGGCTATCCCAATAATCTTGGTAAGGAGGCCTCTGTTTACTCTGGAGGAGCTAAAGAGATCCCAAGTGGCTGGGAGAATCTATAAATGATCAAATTATTGATCATGCAATTCACAAATCTGTTATCTATGGAAGAATGATAAGATGACCAAAAGTGCTGAATACGTTACTGGAAACATGTTTCTGTGGTCCAAAAATGTAACTTCCTAAATCAGCGGTACCAACACTGTTCACTGAATACAGCTTTGTATTCATGCAACCCCTCTGAAACATTTACAGGTGCTGGTCATAAAATTAGAATATCATGAAAAAGTAGATTGATTTCAGTAATTCCATTTAAAAAGTGAAACTTGTATATTATATTCATACATTACATACAAACTCATATATTTCAGATGTTTATTTTGTTTAATTTTGATGATTACAAATGACAACAAATGAAAATCTCAAATTCATCATATCAGAAAATTAGAATATTGTGAAAAGGTTCAAAATTGATGGCCCCTGGTGCCACACTCTAATCAGCTAATTAACTCAAACCACCTGCAAAAGCCTTTAAATTGTCTTTCAGTCTAGTTCTATAGGCTACACAATCATGGGGAAGACTGCTGACTTGACAGTTGTCCAAAAGACGACCATCGACACCTTGCACAAGGAGGGCAAGACACAAAAGGTCATCGCTAAAGAGGCTGGCTGTTCACAGAGCTCAGTGTCCAAGCACATTAATAGAGAGGCGAAGGGAAGGAAAAGATGTGGTCGAAAAAAGTGTACAAGCAAGAGAGATAACCGCACCCTGGAGAGGATTGTGAAACAAAACCCCTTCAAAAATGTGGGGGAGATTCACAAAGAGTGGACTGCAGCTGGAGTGAGTGCTTCAAGAACCACCACACACAGACGTATGAAAGACATGGGTTTCTGCTGTCGCATTCCTTGTGTCAAGCCACTCTTGAACCACAGACAGCGTCAGAAGCGTCTTGCCTGGGCTAAAGAGAAACAGGACTGGACTGCTGGTGAGTGGTCCAAAGTCATGTTCTCTGATGAAAGTAAATTTTGCATTTCCTTTGGAAATCAAGGTCCCAGAGTCTGGAGGAAAAGAAGAGAGGCACTTCATCCACGTTGCTTAAAGTCCAGTGTAAAGTTTCCACAGTCAGTGATGGTTTGGGGTGCCATGTCATCTGCTGGTGTTGGTCCATTGTGTTTTCTGAGGTCCAGGGTCAACGCAGCCACATACCAGGAAGTTTTAGAGCACTTCATGCTTCCTGTAGCTGACCAACTTTTTGGAGATGCAGATTTCATTTTCCAACAGGACTTGGCACCTGCACACAGTGCCAAAGCTACCAGTACCTGGTTGAAGGACCATGGTATCCCTGTTCTTAATTGGCCAGCAAACTCTCCTGACCTTAACCCCATAGAAAATCTATGGGGTATTGTGAAGAAGAAGATGCAATACACCAGACCCAACAATTCAGAAGAGCTAAAAGCCACTATTAGAGCAACCTGGGCTATCATAACACCTGAGCAGTGCCACAGACTGATCGACTCCATGCCACGCCGCATTGCTGCAGTAATACAGGCCAAAGGAGGCCCAACTAAATACTGAGTGCTGTACATGCTCATACTTTTCATGTTCATACTTTTCAGTTGACCAACATTTCTATAAATCCTTTGTTTTTATTGGTCTTCAGTAATATTCTAATTTTCTGATATGATGAATTTGAGATTTTCATTTGTTGTCATTTGTAATCATCAAAATTAAACAAAATAAACATCTGAAATATATGAGTTTGTATGTAATGTATGAATATAATATACAAGTTTCACTTTTTAAATGGAATTACTGAAATCAATCTACTTTTTCATGATATTCTAATTTTATGACCAGCACCTGTAAATGGTTAATAGCCAGCCTTCTGCTTAACTTGCTGACATGGTGGTAAATTAGCTTTTTTGTTACAGTTGTGTTGGATCAGGGATACATGCAAAGTCTGCAGGACAGTGGCTCCTCAGGAGTAACCTTTACTATATCTGTCCTACATGAAAAACACTTTGTGTTGGGAAGAACTGCAGTTTGTAACATGTTAGTGACAGTGTCATGCTAAGGGGTTGCTTTCTTTAATCAGAGAAAGAGATCTGAGGAGATGGGTAGATTGATGGATCTAAATACAAGTAATTCGTAGAATAAAAGCTTTTTAGAGGAAGGTATTTAGACTGAAGCTCAATAATCATGTGTCATTAGGGCCTAGTTAAGTTACATCATTTAAAAATAGCTTTGAGACTTGAAATTTGATGTTAACCGAAGTCACTCATCCAATCAGAATAGGGTTGAAACAATTAATCAGATTAATCATGATAATCAATTATTGAAATAATTGTCAACTAATTTATTAAATGATTAATTGTTAAATTGAGTGTAGAGACTCTTACACGTGTCTTTGATGACAGAGTGACCCACCTCGAGCAGCAATTAATGACTGGTTGTCCTCACGCAGTAGTGTGTAGCAGTAAGCTTGTTGCAGATATTTTTTGATGTCTGCTCTATGTTATTCCATGCCATAACGCAAGAGGGACAATCACGAACTAGCCTTGGGTCTAGATACGGCCGAGGAGGTGAGGAAGTGGGGGCGAGTTTGTGCGACAACGGAGAGACATGAGGGGGAAATAGAGCGGGGATCCAGGTAGAAAAAGGATCCCAGCGTTCTCGCAAACCTCACTCTTCTAAATCGTCCATCTTCACAAGTAATTTTCCACAATGGTGGTCATACAAACAAAACATGCTGGTAAGGTACCAAACAGAAAATACGCATAGTGTAGGGCAGATGTAGATTGACCAATCAGAGGTCTCTGCGTTAAACCAGACTTTATTCCAAAATTGTAAAAAAAAAATAATGTAAACATTTTGCATTTAAGATTAAAAAAATGCTTCATCTGTCAATGTGTTCTATCCAGAACTCCTCAAATGGAAAAGTTTTAGTTGCACCTGGATACATTTCGTAAAAAATTTTTTTAAGGAACCTTTGGCTATCTTATTATTTATTGATCAATGTAAAAATATATAACAGATTAATCAATTTGCAAAATAGTCGTTAGTGAAATAATTCCCAAAGGAGAACAAGGAAATGTACACGTTTCACCTTTGCATTCACATCACAGTTACGCTTTACTCTGTGTTGGCCTCATCATAAAAACAATCCCTATATACCAGAGTGGACATTTATGATTATAACATGATAAAATGTGGAAAAGTTCAAGGGTTATAAACGTGTTTGCCTGGTCGGCCCGTTAAAGAGATTTGAATTTCACAAGCTGTCAACAAGTTTTGGACAAAGAGTTGTTTATTCCTACTTGGATCAGATAAAATACACTTTATAGCTGCAGACTTCAGCAAAATGAAGTTTATGTTAACTGTGAAAATCTCACATTTATCATGAATCTTCTCAGCTTTGGCTGGAGGAAATATATTCACAAGTTTGGGCCAATAATAGCCGCCACTCGTCCATCTGTAGTGGTTCTGAACATCCAGGCGGAGCAGAGCCAAACTCTTGGCAGGCTCGCCGGCAGCCGTTAGGCGGTTAAACACGACCTCTTGATCCTGATAGGACTGCTACTGTTATGTGATGCCTCATCAGCCAATTGATGGTCAAAAGGGCGAAGAGAAGATTCTTTTTTTTGTTTTCTGACATCTTCCACGCCTTTATTAAGGTGGCGAGCATTTCCAAATCCAACGCTCATAGCTGTGTAGTTCCCCAAAGGCTCCATCTGGACACAGAGTGTGTTTTCTTCTAATCCAGCTGGTCACTACGCATGTTATGGTAAAATCCGTCTGATGCCTAAGAGTTTTTTTCTTTCTTTTTCATGCTGGACTAGTTCTGTTTGTTTCCCTATTTAGGAGAAATGATACAAATCTGAGGGGAAAATATCATCAGCAGAAGATTATTTGTACATTAGCAACAAAA